TTTTTGTTCAGATAGAGCGGGAGGGAGAGAGAGAGAGAGAGAAACATCGACGTGAAAGGGACACATCGAGTGGTTGCCACCCACATGACCAACCAGGGCCGGGGACAAACTGCAACTGAGGTACGTGCCCTTAGCGGGAACCGAACCTGGGTCTCTCTGGATCGCAGGCCAATGCTCTAACCGCTGAGCCAAACCAGCCAGGGCATAAAAGGTGATTCTTTAAAAAAAAGTAATTCCTGAGATCCTCAGAGGTGGAAAGTATGAAAATATATGGATGTAGCTTACCCCTATGATGCGAGTGTACAAAAATAGAGAAGCTACTGAGGTTTATTTGGGCACTAATTTTTTTTCCGTTTTTTTCCCAGAAACCAATTTCCCCATTGTGTTCTAGGACTGGCTGAACCTCTCCCGAGGAGTCTCTCAGCAGCAGAGTTAGAAAGAAGACCAATAGGAAATTATCCATGGATCTTAACAGCATGTGTTCTCTGTGCCCCTTTAGTACCCACTTTACCTGACCTCAGGCTCTGGAAGTGCTCCAGATTATAACAATTAGGGACATAAGCTGGAAGACCACAGACTTGGAATTTTCTGAAATGACCTGTTACTTACTACAAAATCTGCCTGGATGTAGTCTGAAGCTGTCCACTGGGTGTGCTGGCTCTGGAGCAAGGTAAGCCACTGCCTGTGTTCTATCTGTGGCCACTTGGCATAAGCTACAAAGTGATCTGCTGATGGCTGCTTCTTGTGCTGGGCTTGGAGGTGCCTAGGAAAAGCCGAGTTGTGAACCAAGGCTGGCTGCTTCTAGTGCCAGGCCTCGGGCCACTTAATGAGGGGTATGGGGCTCGCTGAGACCAGATGCTGCTTGTTTGAGAGATTTTAGGAAACTCTGAAGCAGGATCCAAGACAGGCCAATCCTATGGTTAAGCAACTGGCAACAGCTTGGGTGGGCCTGAAAGTTGGGTGGGGCGGGGCCTCAGGGAGTCACCAGGGCGGGGCTACCAGTGTGAGCCAGGTTGCTGGAGTCCCAGATATGGCGACTGTCTGTGCCCCAGGGAAGGGCTCAACAAGGAACATCAGCCTCCGCCAGCACATCTGTCCAGGAGAAAGCCCCCTCTCCAGCCCTCGTCCCAAGGCCAAAGAGCTCAGTTCTTCCCTGTATGTCTCTGGCGCCCCTCAAGCTGCCTCCCCTCCGAGCTTAGAGGGAGCAAGTCCGGTAAGTCTATGCTCTGGCCCTTGTCTGAGGCTCCAGCAGCCTCAGCCTCCCTCAGCCTCAGTTCCTGCTAGGTTTTACAGCTAAAAGTGATGGAGACTTCTCTTCCTGGCACTGGAACCATGAGCTGGGAGCCTGGTGTGGGACGGGGACCCCTCAGTCCTCAGGGAGGACCTCCCCAGCTGAGGTGTCCTCCTGATTTTTATCCGCCACACGTGGGTGTGGGACCAGCCCATCTGCACCTCCGCCCTCCTACCAGTCTGGATGTGGCTGCTTCTTTAATTTCAGTTGTAGGACTTCCATTCAGCTCGATGTCAGGTGGTTCTGAATGGTGGTTGTATTGTAGTTTAGTTGTAATTTTGATGTAGTTGTGGGACGAGGAGAGTAACACATTTACCTACGCCACCATCTTGACCGGAAGTCTTTTTTTTTTCCTCACCCGAGGACATTTTTCCATTTTTTGTACAGATAGAGTGGGAGGGAGAGAGGAAGAGAGAGAGAGATACATCGATGTGAAAGGGACACATCGAGTGGCTGCTACCCGCATGATCCAACCAGGGCCGGGGACAAACTGCAACCAAGGTACATGCCCTTAGTGGGAACCAAACCCGGATTCCTCTGGACCACAGGCCACGCTCTAACCGCTGAGCCAAACCGGCCAGGGCCGGAAGTCTTTATTTAATCCTCACCAGAGGATATTTTTCTGTTGCTACTTAGATAGAATGGGAGAGAGGGAGGGAGAGAAACATTCATGTGAGAGAGACACATCAATTGGTTGCCTCCCGCATGACCCCAACCAGGGCCAGGGATTGAACTGCAACTGAGATATGTGCCCTTCACCGGAATGGAACCTGCGACTCTTTGGTCCACGGGCTGATGCTCTAAACACTGAGTAAAACTGGCCAGGGCCACACTGGTTTTCTTTATACATGAGTATATTCCAAGATTCCAGCCACTCCCAACCCTATCAGAAAGTATTCTGAGATCTGGAAGGAAGGGCCTTGTATTCTCAAATAAACTTATTATATACATTTGGAAACAGGAGAGAAAGAAGAAACTAGGTAAAATATACATTTGAAAAAAGATACAAAAAACGTACAATTTGAAATCAAGGAAATCACAGTAAACAAGGTGAAGTGTGCACATGAATGGAGACACCTTCTTGAAAAGGGGGATTGACGCATTTCTTTGTTACTTTAATAAAATGACAAACTTCTTTGAGTAGGATGAAGGAAGGGGGCTGACTTCCTTCATGCCATCATGAGAAAAATATCTGAATCTGTATACAATGATACACAAACCAAGGGCCGACTTGTTCCAGAGAGAGCCAAATTTTTCTCAAATTTCCTCTCCTCTTTTTGCGATAAATAAGCACACACATTTCTGTCCCTGCTACCTTGATTATAAATGTTACAAGTAGTTATTTGAGGTAATTATAGTCTTTAAAGTCAGCACAAAGACTGAGTTCATGAACAGTGAACCATTCATTGCTTCTACAGATACACAAGGTGAGGTTCCTGTGAGCCTCTGGGTCACATTTTTGTCAACTATCAGTACAATGTTTTGTCAATTCATTTACATTAAACTCATGGCCAACAGAACTCATGACTGAATGACGCTTATGTAATGCAGGTATTTTCTCCTTAAGAAACTTCACAGCCTTCTTGTGATTAGGAACACTAGACAGCACTTCAGCGTAACACTTGGAGGCCATTTTAAAGAGAAATAACCAACAAAAAGCAAAAAAATGAGAGAGAAAAAAATAACACTGAGTAGACAACAAAAAGGACACTTATTTACAGTTTGAAAGCTAAAATACGAAGACAGAGCATTGTCTTTGACCTCCTGGGAAAATGTGCCTCTGTTTATGTCTAAGAATGGCATCGAAAGCATTTTGAGTATTGATTTGGGGTTTACAAATACATTTTAGAAGGTAGGCAAATACAAAATCTGCTAGTGAGGACTGACTGGACACAAGTTTTAATTCCTTTACTGGGAAGTAGGGTTGTCTCAATAGAGCAGTCATAAATCAGGGTTGGGAAGTCAGGAAAAGAGAACCTAGTTCAACTGCTACCAATAAATTCTCAGTGTGTTGCAATAACATGGCAACCAAAATGGCTAAAATATAACTGACATCACTCAAGAACAACTAATTAATTTCACTTTAGTTTTATTGTAAAACATATGATGGGATGATAGGGCATCTCAGAATCAGTTTCACACTCCAACACAGTGAAAATTTATAATCTTCTCAAATGCCTGTCAAATTTATTCCTAAATATCTCAACAAGAACTAATTTTATCATCTTTTTTTAATCCTCACTGGAGGACATTTTTGCATTTATGTTCAGACAGAGTGGGAGGGAGAGAGGTAGGGAGAGAAACATCGATGTGAGAGAGACACATAGAGTGGTTGCCACCCTCACAACCCCAACCAGGGCCGGGGACAAACTGCAACTGAGGTACATGCCCTTAGCAGGAACCGAACCTGGAACTCTCCAGTCTGAGGGCCGACGCTCTAACCGTTGAGCCAAACTAGCCAGGGCTAATTTTATCATCTTTTTTATTTAAACAAGCAAATAACTGGGCCCACAATTTATATTACCTGTCAATTTTTCCTATATTAAACATCTACCATAGTTTAAACCCATTAGAGTACTTAATCCTTCCAAATAAACAAGTTTATAAAATCACCTCCATAATAAATAGCCTTTTCTGGTTTGTCCGCCTTTGACTAAATAAGCTTAATGCTTAAGATTTTCCATTTTGGTCTCTAGCAGTATTAGTTCCATACTTTGTATTCCAGACTTCTTTTTCTTTTTAAAATCCTTACCAGAGGATATTTTTCCATTTATCTTCAGATAGAGTAGGAGGGAGAGAGAGAGACACACACACACATCAATTGGTTGCCTCCCGCACCACCCTGACCAGGGCCGGGGACCAAACCGCAACCAAGGTAAGTCCCCTTGGCCAGAATCGAACATGTAACTCTTTGGTCCGCGAGTCAATGCTCTAACCACTAAGCCAAACCGACCAGGACCAGACTTCTTAAATCATAGGAAAAGGAATATACACTCTGTGTCTCCTTTCAGAGCATGGTTGAGAAGCCACACCACCTACCATATCATGTCCTTTCCTGCATGCATGGACTACTCTACTACCATATATCTCAAGTCCATTTTTTTTAAAAATCACAAATTAACTCATTGCCAAATATGCTCAGAATAAGATTTCTTAACCAGGAGTTATCAGAGGCATTTCAGGGTAGTGGTCAATGAAAGACCCCCATGTTGTCAATCTAATGATTTTTCTGAAGAGAAAACCATAGTTTTATCAGATGCTCAAACAGGTCTATGATCATTCATACCTCCAAATTTTAAGAATCACCTCACTGGATTCTCTTGTTTTATAAAATTTTAATGTGTGGGACTGTTCGGTACAATTTGACATCATTCAGTATCTAGTGCTGTTTTCTGAACTTCTACCACCTCTAGCAAGTTGTAGTTTTATAAACAGAACCAGACAATTTTATATTCTTAGGATACAATTAGATATACCACATTTCCAGCATTTAAAAGATTTTAAGGCCTGGCTGGTGTAGCTCAGTGGTTGAGTGTCAACCCATGCACCAAGAGGTTGCTGGTTCGATTCCTGGTCAGGGCACATACTCAGGTTGTGGGCCCAATCCCCTGTGGAAGGCATGCAAGAGGTGGTCAGTTGATGTACTCTCTCATCGATATTTCTCTCTCTCTCTCTCATTCTGCCATCCTCTCTAAAATCAATAAAGAAAATAAATTTAAAAAATTAAAAAAGGATTTTAAGTATTATCAAATATAACTGGATTATAGTTTAGCCCAAAGTACTTCACAGAATTCATGATTTTAAATAAAGGCAAATTAAATCATATATGAATAAGTCTTCTGAGTATATTAAGGTGGTAGTGACACTTGTAACTGTTTCAAAATTGCCAAAAGTATGTCATTTTCTTGAATTGAACTTGGCATAAAAGGCAGCAAATAGATCCTTATAAGGAGTGTCTGAATCTCTCTTGGTCGATGGTATTCGGCAAAGTTGGCGAAACCTAGGAGAACGCAGCAGCAAGTTCTGTGAAAGGCCCATGAGGCTGGAGCATAGCCAATAGAGAACAATCGACTAGAAAAAAAAGAAAGGACATGAATGTTAATATCTGTCATTCTCCACGGACACCAAGCTCCAGAGACAGGCAGGCAATAAAAAAGTAAGTTATAATCTCTGTAAACAGAAGTATACCAGGACTGAATAAGACCTGCAGCGGCTATTTAGATTCCTGAGATGGATCTCAAAGGCAGGAAAGAAGGATGAAAGGAAGACCAAAACGTGGAAAGAAAGCAAAAAGGGAGGTTTACATGATAGAAAGTGGATAACAGAGAGTAGATCCCAAAGGCCCAAGAGAAGACTCATCTCCTTTTTTTGGTACTTAAGCTTCTTCCCCACTGTATTGGAAATAGGAACCTGGAGGCACAGCCATTTGTGATGACAAACTTAGTCCCCCTAGACCGCATTTTCCTCCATACAGTCTTCTATCTACAAATATTTCTAGTAACCAGTTGCTAAGGATAGTCAGGAATGCATTGTCTTTGCCTTTTTCTGAGACATGTAGTTTTAGCAAAATCTTCAATTTTCTTCATCATCACTAAAGTGGAGATTCCAGTAGCACCTACTTTAGTGCACTGCTGGGAAATTATATGAGCTAATAGACGCAAACCACTTTACATTGCAACTGGCACAAAGTCAATGTTGACTAAACATTAGTTATCACCACCAAGTAAAAAGTACCCTGAACTCAACTACACAGACTACAAGCTGTTTACTAAAAATCGTTCTTCTTCCTTAGTAATAAAGTCCTAATTTTCAGCAAAGTATACTGCCATCTCAAAAAGAAGACTACTTCCCAGTCTCTTCTATAGTTAGATGTGCCCACATAACTAAGACGCAAGCCCCAGTGTTTGGTGGGACATCTGACAAGGCTCCTTAAAGGGGCTGACTGCGCGTGAAGCACCCTTTACCACTGCTGCTGACAAGCTCCAGCAGTCATCATGACCATGCTGTGGCCTATAGGACAGAGACTACAGACTGTGGATGATGGAGCATTAAGAGAGAGGCAGGATGGGCCTGTCATGTCATCCAAGAGTTGCCACATCAGCTCTATACTAAGCTGTCTAACTGAATTTCCTGTATTTGAGAGAATAAACTTTTGGGTATTTAAGACAAATTCTCAGATCTGTTTTCACTTTGAACCCCATCCCTCACTGAAACTTCACTGCTCTTATTTTATTTGAGCTGGGGGTATCCTCAGTTATCATTGGTATTATTTCTCCCCAGAAATGTAGTACATCTATATTTTTCTATTTTTACAGGGTATTTACAACAATACTACTATTATTACTACTATTATATGAAAATTACTATAATAGGCACTTGATGTTATTTCATTAATTCTCACAGACATTATGATGTCTATTTTAAAAATGTGAAAACTTACTTATTTTACACAGGATTAATGACAATATTATGTCCAAGGGACAGCTTTATTTTTTTATTATTATTTTTTTTAATCCTCACCCGAGGATATTTTTTTCATTTTTTTGTACAGATAGAGTGGGAGGGAGAGAGAGGAAGGGAGAGAGAGAGAGAGAAACATCGACGTGAAGGGACACATCGAGTGGCTGCCACCCGCACGACCAACCAGGGCTGGGGACAAACTACAGCCGAAGTACGTGCCCTTAGCGGGAACCGAACCCGGGTCTCTCCAGACCGCAGGCCGACGCTCTAACCGCTGAGCCAAACTGGCCACGGCCAAGGGACAGCTTTAAAAATACATTTTTGATGCTGAAAACATACTGTTCCAGATTCCTAGGACATGTAATATGAAAAACTCTATCTATGCTGATATAACCCTAACTATCAGCAACAAATGGATTCTACTTTATGGCTATGTGTCGGCACTGGGCAGAGACAGAGCTATACCTGACACAGCTTTTGCCCTCTTGGCACTAACTATCCATAGGAAATAAGCAACAAGAGACTAAAAATATAAAACAACTGCAAACATAACCATTTCTTTTTCTATTTCTATGAAAATTACAAATAAATGGGAACAAGTGTATCTATATCATAAAGAGTTATCTGAAGTTAAATAATATTACATATGAACACATATGGACTTGGCATAAAGCTCTACTTTTTTTAAGTGCTAAATTCCTTACCCCAGTCTATGTAGACAGAAAGAATTCAATATATCAACTAATCAAACAGAGCAAATACTTTTTTCATAGTACTGTGCAAGGCACTTTGCAAATTATAAAAAGAATACAAGAGTTTGATTTAGTAGGATAGTTCAGACACATTCACATAAAGGAAGATCACAACCAATCCCAAGAAATATTTAAGTGTCACTTGGTGACAGAGACAGTAAATTAGTTATTAGAGAAAAACTTGGAAACCAGTAAGGGATTGAGTAGTCAGAGAAAGCCCAATGGAAGCAGCAGAATCCCAGCCAGACGAAGCTAAGACCAGACAAGATCCAGCACACACTGCTGGTGCTTACTCACCGAAGGCACTGTCGCAGCAATCGGAACCATCAGCACCGATACTGCCCGAACAAAGTACGTAACATACACCTGAAAGCGAGACATTCCCATTTTTTGTAGGGCAAAAATCTGAAGGGGTAGAATATATACAAGACACCATGGTTATTAAAGTGCATATTAAATTAGACAATCTTTAAAACACAAACTGTTTTTTGACTGGCTTTCACTATTTTAATAAAAGCAAAAAGAAATTAAAATTAAAGATAAAACATTGATATATTTATTTGATCCTCTATCTTTTAAAAAATTTAATAATGCAGAAGTTAAGGATAAAACACTGACACATTTGGTTAATCATCTAAATTTAATAATTATGCACAAGTCTTTTTTTTTAAATGAACTTTGTCTTTAAAATTTTTTTTTCTTTATTGATTTTAGAGAGAGTGGAAGGGAGAGGGAGAGAGAGATAGAAACATCAATGAGAGAGATAATTGACTGGCCATCTCCAGTATGCCCTGTACTGGGGTTCGGGCCCACAGCCTGGGCATGTGCCCTGACCTGGAATCAAACTGGTGACCTCTTGGTGCATGGGTCGACGCTCAACCACTGAGCCACACCAGCTGGGCTATGCAGAAGTCTTAATTATAGCTTTAATTACTAGCAATAATGTGATTCAAAGGAGGAGGTGTCAATGGGGAAAAGAAGGAGGGACATTTGTAATACTTTCAACAATAAAGGAACTGAAAGTGCCTTCAAGATAGGTACTATGGCCCTGACTGACGTGGCTGAGTTGGTTGAGTGTTGTCCCATGCACTGAATGGTCAACAGTTCAATTTTCAGGTTGAGGTACCAACAGATGGATGTTTCTCTCCCACACTGAAGTTTCTCTTTCCTTCTCCTTCCTCTTTCTCTAAAATCAATAAAAACATATTTTTTAAAAAGACAGGTATGAATCATTACCCTTTTTTGGTACTTAAATATAGTGCCTGGCATAAAGAAGGAACTTGGTACCTCAAAAGTTTGTGATCTGGCTACATGGATTAACGGGAATAACCAGGGTGAGAAAAAGAAGTTACAATTTATGAATTACTTGTTTAAGAGGCAGCATAGCATAGTGAGTATGAGCACAGACTCTAGGCCCAAACCTCCTAGGTTCACATGGCAGCCCTGCATTTGGTGGTTATGTGACTTTGCACAAGTTAATCTTTCTGTGCCTCATGTTCTCCACCTTAGGATGGGCGTAATAATAGTACCTACATCACATAGTTAGTCTAAGAATTAAATGAGTTAATTAATGTAAACTGTTAAAAATAGTGCCTGAGCCGGGCTGGTTTGGCTCAGCGGTTAGAGTGTTGGCCTGCGGACCAGAGTGTCCCAGGTTCGGTTCCCGCTAAGGGCATGTACCGCAGTTGCAGTTTGTCCCCGGCCCTAGTAGGAAGTCGTGTGGGTGGCAGCCAGTCGATGTCTCTCTCTCACATAGATGTTTCTCTCTCTCTCTTCCTCCTTTTCTCCCTCCCACTCTGCCTAAAGATAAATGCAAAAAAAAAAAAGTCCTTGGGTGAGGATAAAAAAAAAAATAGTGCCTGCAAAATGGTGTATGTTAAATAAGAATAAACTTTTAGTAAACGTATGCATACTGAGTTAGTAGATGGTTTAAAGGAAAGACTAGAAGACTGACAGTAATTCATGGTGATCTTATATTTATCTCTTCCTTCTTTCTAACAAATATTCACTAAGTACCAACCACACTCATAAGACTGCTACGTGCTCCTAGGGAAATACACTTAGACCACACACTTAGACTGGAGTCTTTCCTCAAGAAACTTTCACCAAACACGGTAAAGTATTACCTTCATTTTTCTTGTCTAACAAAATAAAGGGTTTGGTAGATTTCTCAGAAACCCCTGGACATGAGGTCCAAGAGATCTCAAATGAGGTAGATTATTTCTAAGGTTTCTTCCAGTTCCAGTTCAAAGAGTCTATGTTCTCCTCAGAGTCTGGGAACAACTCTATGAAATTAAAGGCATACTTAACCATAAACTGGTAAGTAAAGGAGCATGGGATAGTGGTAAGACATGGCTTAATATATATGTTTTTCCACTTCCACTCTTATAAAGAAGTTCTATGATTTTTCTAAGGTCACATAACTGAAAATGGTATTCAGGTACTGACTGTTCCCTGCCTACCAATTTGCATATTAAACATATATATAAAACACCAATCTATTGTGAAAATAAAACTAAACTGATTAGACAGCTTTTTAAAAAATTTAATTAATCAATTTATTTTTGTTACAGATGTTTCTCCTTTTTCCCCATTGACACCCTCCTCCCCGCTCCCATCCCCCCCGATTAGACATCTCAATCTCTGTCTTTACCAAAAGCAAATCACAAAATTGAATGTACTGGAATATAATTTTTTTAATAACCCATTGGTATTTTAATTGTTATTTATTTATTTATTTATTTCCTCATCTGAGCACATTTTTCCATTTTTTTGTTCAGAAAGAGTGGGAGGGAGGGAGAGAGAGAGAGAGAAACATTGATGTGAAAGAGACACACTGAGTGGCTGCCACCCGCAGGACCCAACCAGGGCTGGGGACAAACTGCAACCGAGGTACGTGCCCTTAATGGAAACCGAACCCAGGTCTCTCTGGACCGCAGGCTGACGTTCTACCCGCTGAGCCAAAGCGGCCAGGGCTGGAATAATATAATTTTAAAGCTGAGAGAGACTTTGAAAGTGTTCTAATTCATCTCTCTTATTTAAATTATGAGCATTCTGTCCCCCAGAGTGCTAGAATTAAGACTCAAACATATTTATATTTGGTGTCAAAACAGCAACAACAGAAATCCTAATAATTTAAATGGTAAGCAAGCTTATTTAAAACCACTGACCTCTACTATTAATAAGTTGATGACACCAACAGAGACAGGCAGAATCCAAGTGGAATCCAGTGCAGTGAGATCAGGAAACCACAGGACCCCACCAGCAGCTAACTGCTCCTGAACAGAAAAACCTGCTGAAAGTTTTATAAACAAAAAAATTTTTAAAAACAGCAGAAGGAAATATACAAGACATAGGTAGTATGATAATTCCCATAAAGTGTCCCTCACACTAAAAACTTGTATTGGTTTTATTTGGGCTACTTTCATCCCACAACACAAATCAGTTCTTCCTGCACTGATACAGAGGCAAGTTGCTTTCTATAGCAGATAGACTTAGAATAAAAATATGTAGCAGTAATCTTTTCAGACTTAAATAATTATTTAGCCATAGGCTGCTTCTTCTGTTTGAGTCTATTCAGATTTCTTCTGGTTAGGAATGCCTTTAAATGAGAGTAAAAAACAAATGCTTCAGTTTATATTTTCTTAATTAATGTTTGTAACTGTGAAAGCTTTTCTGTTCTCTTCAGTTTATAAACAAAACCAATCCTTGGCTAGGAAACCAAGTTATAAAATTATAACATTAATTTTATTATGACCTCAAAGAATTAGTATTATTACTGTCCTTCCTAGATTTGTTTTCTCAACACAGCTAGTTTGCTTACACTTAATATTTCTATTTTTAATTCTATTTTTATATCTTTTATAAGAAAGTTAAAGTACTCTAATTATGAAAAGTATGTTTGTTTCTTTCTTCATACAAAGACAATGTTAGGAACTTATTTGGAGGAAACAGACTTCTATGACTACCTTCTGAGTGCGTTGCTCCTGTGCTAAAATTCCGGAGAGCAACAGACATGAAGATCCACATAGGAAGCTGAATCCAGACCAAAACTGTGGCTTTGAAAGGGTGGCAATTATCCCGAACATACAGCTCAGAAACAAGCCTTCGCATATTCTTTAGATAAGTGAGCCTATATTGAGGGAAGAGGAGACGGGAAAGGAGAAAATGTCATTTGACTAATAGCATTTCATAACTATAACACAAACACAGCCAGGTTGTGGTATTGGCTGAAAGATTGTGTAGGATTTTTAATTGCCATAGCTATATTAAGGGGCTGCCTAGCCCTCACCAGTATGGCTCAGTGGTAGAGTGCTGGCCCGCAAAACAGTCTCAGGTTCGATTCCGGTCAGGGGCATGTGCCTTGGTTGCGGTTCATCCCCAGCCCTGGTCGGGGTCAGGCAGGAGGCAAGGGGTTGATGTGTTCCTCTCAAGTCAATGTTCTCTCTCTGTCCCTTTCTCTCCCTCCCTCCCCTTCCCTTTCTATCTGAAGATAAATAGAAAAATATCCTCGAGGATGAAAAAAAAAAAATTAAGGGGCTGCCTAAACAAAAGGTAAATAAGCCTTTTACTTAAAATTCTCTAGCAATGTACATAAATGACATAACAATTCAATAAATCTAATATTATCAGACTACAGACTTTGTCTATGGTGATCTTTGGCCAAGTAGACTTTAATAAGGGAAACTCCACTACTAACATGGTATTACCGCGCAGCTGGTGTGGCTCAGTGGATTGAGGGTCATTTCATGGACTGAGAGGTCCCAGTTCAATTCCTGTTCAGGGCACATGCCCAGGTTGTGGGCTTGATTCCCAGTGGGGGGTGTGTAGGAGGCAGCTGATGAATGTTTCTCTCTCACATTGATGTTTCTATCTCTCTCTCCCTTCTTCTCTCTCTAAAAAATCAACAATAACGTTTTAAAAATGGTATCACTGCAATTTCTATCAGAAACACTAAAGGTAAAAGCACATTTTATTCAAATCCCTCCACTCCAGCCAAGCTCAATTACTTGGTCCCTGAATATATTTTTTGTAGCAATGTGGTTTTGTACTGTGTATGCTCTTAGTCTGTCAATATGGTCTCCATTCTTCAATTCCCTTCCATGAAGATTTCTTCATTTCTCCAATAAGCATATCAGTTATTCCTGTTCTTAAGTCCCACTTTCTTGACTATAGTCTTGTTGAAGGTCAAATGTTGACCTTCATCTCTAAATCTCTTGCAGCACATTTTGCACAAAAGTAAGGCATTCAATAGGTTTGCTGAATTTACTTGAATTATAGTGTATTATATTAAGACAGTACACGCTAACATTCCAGGCTTTTTGTAATTCAGCCTCTGCGTACTCTTCCAACTTTATCTCCTGTTACACCTTTATAGATACCTGTATTTTCTGGTGCCTGAATTACTTAGGTCACCCAACAAATCAGACTTGTACACCAGCATGCCGTTGGAAAGTATTGTATCATCTGTGTGGACAACCCACTGTCTTGGTGGTCCACCTGACAAACTCCCTTTCACCTTTCAAGACTCAGTTCCAATGAAAATGCAAGAAATCTTCAGATGTGTCATTTCAGAAAACCACCCCTCTGCGTAAGGATGTGGCTGGACAATCATCCTGCCAGTGCTGCATAAGCAGCGTGCCACAAACTTATCTAGGCTGCATTTATAACCCAGGTGAGCAGCTACAAATCTGTTTTGGTCTAGAGCTTACTCTGAGATTTCTCTGATCAGTAAAACTGCAATATTACAAGCTTGCTAACTTTTTATGTTATCGCGTAAACACAAAAAGCTATCACAATGACTTTTAAATGTCAGGTCGTTTTAACACTAAATAAAGAAAAGCAATTTCATACTGAAGATAGTTGGCAAATGTATACCTATACAGATAAAAATATATGGGCTACCATATATACTTGTAAATATATATTTCTCATTGGTGTGAATGGTGAACACTATGTCACAAATAGTAAGGATCAGCCTTCGATTGTTTGGCTCAGTGGTTGGAGCGTCAGCCCGCAGACCAGAGGTCGCAATTCCAGCCCTGGTTGGGGTCATGCGGGAGGAACGATGCGTCTCTCTCCCATTGATGTCTCTCTCTCTCTCTCTCTCTCCCCCCATCTCCCTCCCTCCCTCTCTCTGAAAACCAATGCAAAAATATCCTCAGGTGAGGATTTAAAAAAAAGATAGTAAGGATCGGTTTTGGGAAATTGAGTAGTAGCTTTGGTTGACTGGAGCAGCATAACTTAGAAGTTCCCAGCAGATGACTGAGGCATGGTCAGGCACCCTTGGCCAAGGGTTTTCTAGGAACCCAGGCAGATTAACATACAGGGTAACTACAGTGGATGGACAGCACCCTGGCTATCCAGTTGCTTTGATCATGACGTTCACATTTTCTATTTCCCCATTTCTGTGGGCTATTGCCTATTACATCTTTTCAAAAAGGTCATTTGTAAATAACCTGTATCATTTGTTGACTAAAATTCCAACAGACTGGCACAGTATCTTTAGCCTGTAAAGCCTTCCCTGACTTTCCATAATAACCCAACTTCTTGCACAAAACCATTTTTATAGTACTTAAGTCAGTCATTATTTGATTACAAGTCTTTTCAGTAGGCTGGAATCCCTTAAGCTGAGAAACGCCCTTCTTACCTTTGTCTCTCCATTTCTTTGCTTTCAGCCCAGTATATAACACTATCATGCCAGCCCTGGCCAGTTTGGCTCAGCGGTTGAGTGTCAACCCATGCACCAAGAAGTCACCAGTTCAATTCCTGGTCAGAGCACATGCCCAGGTTGTGGGCCAATTTCCTAGTGGGGGCATGCAGGAGGTGGCCAATCTATGTTCTCTCTCGTTGATGTTTGACTCTCTTTCTCTCTCTCTAAAATCAAACAAAAAGAAAAAACAAACAAAAAACCTCATTTTCATAGTTAAAAAAATGAGGGGTATACAGGAGGTAGCCAATCAATGTTCTCTCTCCATCGATGTTTCTCTCTTTCCCTCTCCCTTCCTCTCTCTCTAAAATCAATAAAGAAAAAAACAAACAAAAAAAACTCATTTTAATAAAGAGTCGCAGGTTCAATTCCAGTCAAGGGCATGTACCTTGGTTTTGGTTCCGTCCTGGCCCTAGTCGGGGCAACCAATCAATGTGTCTCACATCGATGTTTCTCTCTTTCTCTCCCTCCCTCCCTCCCTCTCTATCTGAAAATCAATGGAAAAATATCCTCGGGTGAGGATTTAAAAAACAAAAACAAAAAAACAAACCTATCATGCCAGCCCTGGCAAGGTAGCTCAGTTGGTTAGAGCATCGTCCCAATATGTCAAGGTTGTGGGTTAGCTCCCTAGTTAGGGCACATGTAAGAAGCAACCAATGAATGCATAAATAAGTGGAACTTTCTCTCTCCTTCCCTTCCTCTCACTCTCTAAAATCAATCAATAAAAAATAAGTTAAAAGAATAAAGCTATCATGCCACATACATTTATTTATTTATTTATTTATTTATTTATTTTTTGGTATGTGCCCCTAGTGGGAACCGAACCCGGGACTCTGGTCCGCAGGCTGATGCTCCAACCACTGATCCAAACCGGCCAGGGCAACATACACTTATTAAAAAGTAAAAAGAACTGCTTTGCTGCTAAGGCTACAGAATACCTAAACCAGTAATTAACATAATTACTTACACATTTTATACATGTATTTTCATGGTCTTATATACACAGAATTAGCTTACCTGGCAACTCTTTTGGACCACCCCAAATGATTTGCACGAACTGCAACTTCTTGGTTAAGATGCCGTGCAATGCTTTTTATTTCTGGTTGCAAATTTTCCACCTAGCTAAAGAAAAAGTAGAATCTGTTATGAGCACATAAAGGATCTTTATTTATAACCACTCATAATTTTATTTCCTATTCCCTCAACTCATTTAAAACTGTGGTTTACTAAACATGTCAAAAAACTTAAGTCTAAGCATAAGAAGTGAATGTGCTTAAGATATCCTCAGTTACAACTAAATTCAAATTCCAGATTAGTTAGCTATGTGATCTTGGGCAAGTTAATTAACCTCTAAGATCCTGTTCCCTCATATGTAAAATTTATTATAACCCTACTTCATTGGGTTATTGTAAGGATTAAAAGAGAACTACACTCTACACTTTTGTTTCATCCCTGGATTTCTCAGTACCGTAAAGTGAGAAAACAGGAATCTATTAATTGAGTCTTTAATATGCTCTGTGATGGCCAGAGTCCCCCAAATTTTGCATCTGTATCTGCCTTGTGTTAATTCTGTAAAGTAGCTCATTGCCTTAATAATGCTGATGAATCCCTGTCTATTGTGTTTCCAGATATTTTTTTCTCCAATGATAATAATCTTAAAATATGAAAGCCATTTTTTAAAGTCTTGCCTTTGAATAATACTTTGCTTTTGTTGCACTTTAACTCATATTATGTGATTTGAGCTCATAACCTATGAAGTCAGACAGGAAGGTAACAAGGAACTGAAGGTTGAATGGCTAAGACACAGGACTGTAGGTGGAACAGCCTGAATAAGGAATCAAGTTTGCAAATCACTAGCTGAGTTTTCCCCTAATAAAATCAGTTGTAATACTTAGGGACTAAAGATGCTGCAAACAGGCTGTTACAATCTCTAAGGCTGTAATTTTACAGGTTTCACCAAACAATTTTTTCTGCTACTGATTCATTTCTCTCACTCTCTAACAATCAGCTTAGTAATCACTTGTGCACAAACCCAGTAGGGTAAACGATATGACACATACGTGTCATTAAACATCTCTTATTTCACACACCCAATGCTAGTTAACTTTCTTAGCAATGAAGTGGTCACGACGATTAATACTAAGCATCCGGAAGTATACAGTATCTTTTTGTTTTTTTAATCCTCACTCGAGTATATCTTTTTTCCCCATTTATCTTCAGATAGAGTGGGAGGTGGAGGGAGGTGGGGGAGGGAGGGAGGGAGAGGGGGAGGGGGAGAGAGAAAGAAACATTTACATGAGACAGACACATCCACAGGTTGCCTCCTGCGGGACCCTGAGACCCCGACCAGGACCGGGGACCCGCCGCAACCGAGGTACACACCCTCCACCGGAATTGAACTCGTGACTCTTTGGTCCGAGGCGCCAAACCAGCCAGGGCAGAATGCAGTATCCAAGGCAGAACTCTCCCCACGGAGGTGGATGCGCAGGGCCCACGCGCGGCTCGGCGCCCCTCACCTTGGCCAGGATATAGTGCTGGTAGGCCGCTAGGGGCAGCGTGACGGCGCCGCGCAGGGCCACGGTGGTGAGAAGGATGCTGCCCCACCAGGGCAGGCCCACGGCGCTGTGCGCGCCGAGCAGCAGCTCCTCCGCGCCCTGCACGGGCGCCGAAGTGGCCAGGGCCTCGTACCAGCCGCCCGCGCCTCCTGGGCTAACCGTGGACACTGAGGCCACCCCCCACACTGGCAGAGCGGCACGCTTGACACGGCCAGTAGGGGCCGTCGCAAACTGCGGGCCCCGGACCCCGAGCTGCAGGCCCGGCAGCGGCCGCAGCCGCCGACCTCCCAGCCGACACAGCATGTGTGCGCCAGGGATCAGCCCAAAACGCGGGCTTCATAGACCAGCGGCAGCTACAGCTACGTCGAAGCAGCCGCGCATGCGTCAGCGACCCCGCGGCGTAAAGTGGGCACGGCCCGCCGCGCCCCGCCCCGCCCGCCGCCACTGTTGACCTTTCCAGTCAAGCCAGTGACGTTCGCGTCGCTCTGAAGATGACGTAGGTGATAGGGAAGTCCCGCCTTTCCCACGCGGCACTGGCCAGGCCTCTTGAGCACAATCGAAACTTTCGCGCTGCTGGCGTGGACCTGCCCAGAGGCAGGACCGGAATTGCAGAGGCAGAGGCGTGGCCTGTTCATTTGTAAAGTCATTCTTCACCCTGTGCCTTTTCATTCTTTTTTACGTTAATTCTGACATTTGTGGTTTAAGCTTGGTGGGTGGTTTTTATGACCACAGGATAGTCCCTGTCTCGTTCTGTGCACCCTGATTGTTTCCGCTAGAGATCGAGCTAGGTTATACTGCCGGAGGCGACACGTGGCTGAAATGCCAGCTTGGAGAGGCATGTGTTTCTGACGGACCTTGTATTAATCAGCACCCCTTATGCACTAGGCACTTTGGTCTATGGTATAAGTATTTTTTTAAATATGTTTTGGTTGATTTAAGAGAGGAAGGGGGAGAGAGATGGAAACACCATGTGAGAGAGAAACATAGATCAGCTGCCTCTCGAATGCCCCCACTGGACATGGAGCCCCAACCCAGGCATGTGCCCTGACCTGGAATGGAACCAGGACCCCTCAGTCCTTGGGAAGAACGCCCAATCCACTGAGCCACACCAGCTGGGCTAGTCTGTGGTATAAACATTTGATTGACTAATCTGTTCTAGTTAGAATTTTCAACCCCACCTGCAAGCTGACTTTCCTTGTTTTATATTTCATTATACATACGAGCAAAACTTTTGTTAATGGTCAAGTACCACCCTAACTGGTTAGAGCATCCGCCTGTGGACCAATGAGACCCGTGTCCGAGTCTGCCCAAGGGCAGTACCTCTGCTGCAATTCATCCCGGCCCTGATTGGGGTCGCCCAGGAGGCAAATGGTCCATGTGTCTCTCTCACATTAGTGTTTCTCTCTCTCTCCTCTCTCCTCTCTCTCTCTCTCTCTCTCTCTCTCTCTCTCTCTCTCTCTCTCTCTCTCTCTCTCCCTCCCTCCCTCCCTCCCTCCTAATCAGTCTAAAGATAAATGGAAAAAATATGTCCTGGGTGAGGGTAAAAAAAAAAGGTCAAGTACCATTTCTTGAGTTAAGGAGAATTATCACTGGCAGCATGATGAATACCTTACTCGATAAGCTTTCCAGTCTAAATAGCAACATTAGGTGTCTCCTGGTTAAAGGAATACATCGAGCCTACATGGATTAATTTTTAGTATTATTGCTGGCGACAGTAAACTGGAATGATATGAAGGAGTTTCCACAGAAGGGTCACCCCTAGACTAGAGGCCAAATTATTGATTAAAACAAGCCTCCAGCAAATGTTGGGGTAATGTCAAATTTTAGCAATTAGTACCAGATACTCTTCCCTGTATCCTGTAAGTCATCTTCCTTCAAAATCACTTGATAAATTCATACATGAATTTTTAAATGTGTTTAAACACACACATACCAATATAGACTAAATATAAACTAATAACAAATTCTTTTTTACTTTTTTAAAATTTTTTATTTTTTCATCTTTATTGTTGAATGTATTACAGATGTTCCTCATTTTTCCCCCATTGACCCCCTCGTCCCCACTCCCGCCCCCCTCCTTCCTGCCTTTTCCCACACTGTTGTCTGTGTCCATTGGTTACATATAAGTTTTTTTTGGTTTATTTCTCACCCCCCCCCCAACACCTATCCCTTTGAGGTTTGTCAATCTAGCAACCAATCTGTACTTTTTTTTTTTTGGTTATGTGCCCATAGCAGGAACCGAAACCAGGGCTCTCTGGACCACAGGCCGATGCTCCAACTGCCGAGCCAAACCGGCCAGGGCTCAATTTGTACTTCTTAATCCCTTCACCTTTTTCACGCATTCCCCCAACCCCACCCCACCCCAATCTGGCAACCAACAACTTGTTCTCTGTATCTATGAGAATGTTTCTGTTCTGCTTGTTCATTTTGTTTGTAGATTCAATTATCGAAAGATATATATTCATTGCCATTTTGTTTGCTCATATATTTTATCTTTTTCTTCAAAAATACCTTTCAACATTTCATATAACAGTTTGGTGGTGATGAACTCTAACTTTTTCTTGTCTGGGAAAGTCTTTATATGGCCATCGATTGTAAATGACAGCTTTGCAGGATAGAGTAATCTTGGTTGTAGGTTCTTGCTTTTCATCGCTCTGAATATTTCTTGCCACTCCCTTCTGGCCTGCAAAGTTTCTTTTGAGAAATCAGTTGACAGTCTTATGGGAACTCCCTTGAAGGTAATTAACTACTTTTCTCTTGCTGCTTTTAAGATTCTCTCTTTGTCTTGAACCTTTTGCATTTTGACGATGATGTGTCTTGCTGTGGGCCTCTTGGGGTTCATCTTGTTTGGGACTCTCTGTGCTTCCTGGACTTGTATGTCTGTTTCCTTCACCAAGTTAGGGAAGTTTTCTGCCATTATTGTTTCAAATACGTTTTCGATTTCTTGTTCTCTCTCTTCTCCTTCTGGCACCCCAAGATGCGAATGTTGGCACGCTTGAAGTTGTCCCAGAGGCTCCTTACACTATCCTCACTTTTTTTGTATTCTTTTTTCTTTTTGCTGGTCTCATTGGGTGTTTTTTGCTTCCTTATATTCCAAATCGATGGTTTGCTTCTTGGCTTTACCTACTCTACTATTGAATCTGTGTAAATTATTTATTTCACTTCGTGCCTTCTTCATTTCTGAGTGGTCCTTTTTTATGCTCTTGAGGCCCTCACCAAATTCATTGAAGTTCTCACTAAGTTCATTGAGCATCCTTTTAAGCAGTATTTTGAACTCAGCATCTGTTAGGTTGCTTATCTCCATATCACTTTAGCTCTTTTCCTGGGGTTTTGTTCTGCTCTTTCATTTGGGACCTGTTTGTCTCCTCATTTTGGCTGCCTCCCTTGTGTTTGTTCTATGTATTACTTAACCAGTGGTATGGGGCTAGCTGAGACCAGATGCTGCTTGTTTGAAAGAATTTAGGAAAACCTGAAGCAGGATCCAAGACAGGCCAATCCTATGGTAAAGCAACTGGCAACAGCCTGAAAGTTGGGTGGGGCGGGGCCTCAGGGAATCACCAGGGCGGGGCAACCAGTGTGAGCCAGGTTGCTGGAATCCCAGATAGGGTGGCTGTCTGCCGCCCCAGGGAAGAGCTCATAAAAGGAACAAAGGCCTCTGACAGCACTTCTGTCCAGAAGAAAGCTGCCTCTCCAACCCTTGCTCCAAATGCCAAACAGCTCAGTTCTTCCCAGTTCTTCCCTGTATGTGTCTGGCGCCCCTCAAGCTGCCTCCCCTCCAAGCTTAGAGGGAGAGAGTCTGGCAAGGCTGTGCGCAGGCCCTTTAAGAGGAGCTGCCTGGGGCTCCAGCCGCCTCAGCCTCCCTGAACCTCAGATTCCGCTGGTTTTTCCAGCCAGTAGTTATGGGGACTTCTCTTCCTGGCACTAGAACCCTGAGCGAGGTGCCTGGTATGGGACAGGACCCCTCAGTCCTCAGGGAGGACCTTCCCAGCTGAGGTATCCTCCTGATTTTTATCCGCCACACGTGGGTGTGGGACCAGCCTATCCGTCTCCGCCCCTCCTACTGGTCTCCATGCCACTGCTTCTTTAATTCCGTAGTTGTAGGACTTCCATTCAGCTTGATTTCAGGCGGTTTTGAATGATGGTTGTTCAGTAGTTTAACTGTAACTCTGATGTGGTTGTGGGAGGACGCAATACCACGTTTACTTATGCCTCCACCTTGACCGGAAGTCTAATAACTAAAATTCTGCAGCACACCAAAAATATATTTTTTGGTGATCTGATCCGCCCAAAAAAAGAAAGTATAATTTTGAACTCTGGTTGGTTTGGCTCAGCGGTTGGAGCATTGGCCTGTGGACCAGAGAGTCTTGGGTTCGGTTCCCACTAGGGGCACATACCAAAAAAAAAAAGTATAATTTGGTTCACTAACACCAGACAACTATTGTTGTGTTGGCTGTTGTCATTTTTTTATTTGGCAATCTAAGGGAAAAGAAGTCAGTGCCCCTAAGCAGTCAGGTATTGCATATTTTAAAAATTCTTATGGCACACTGGTTGAAAATTGCTGCTTTAAAAAGAAGTGTGGTAGGCAGTTGGACAGACTTGAGCAGAGTCAGGACAGTGGGCCAGGTACAGAAGGTCACCAGGTTGAAAAGCCCTAGGTGCCTAGCAAAGGACAACTGTAGGGTGGACCTTGCCCCCAGGGTGACCTTTCCTCCTCTAGCTCATCTCCCAGTCATGCGGTTTGGCCCTCTGACCTTACCTCTCTAGAGGTAACTTCTAGGCTTCCATGGTATTTCAGCTCCAGGCCCAGAAAAGCAGCAAAACCAGACAAGTGATCCCAAGGCTGACCTCAGGACCAGCTGCATTGAATGACCCCCCTGTACTGGTGCCAACCAATCAATGGAGACCCTGACCCTGAAAGTATACACGTGGAAAGCTGCTGAATATTCTACTGACATCTTCCCCTGAGACCTCCCCCAAAATGTTCACCCTTAAAACCCATAAGATAAAGGACCCAGTACTCTCCTCTCTGAAAGAGGTCAGAGCCTCTCCCTTCTCCCTCGCCCTCACCTTCCCCACAAGCCGAGTTACCATTACCTTCCTCATTCCAAAGCTCCAAGGGCCCTTCCTTTACTTCTATAACTTGTTTCCTAAGTCCATTTTTTCGACGTATTACTTCTACCTCTCTGATTTTCCAAATAAATGTTCTCTTACAGTTTGAGTCTTGGCTCTGAATACTTTCCTAGCCAGAACTCAATTAGTAAGTTTGTTAAGCTCAGGCTGAGCCTGACACCCTGAAGGTCTAACACCTGGTGCCAT